TCCTTTCTTTACTAGCGGCTGGATGTGACCATATGCTCTAGTACTGGCTGGAGGGACACGATGGGTAGTGCTATGTGTGCTTTCTGGATTCCTTCTTTAAAAGGAAGGTGTTTTCCACCCTCCTCATACTTTCTGCTTTCTTATCATTTGGAAAATGATACAAACCTAGAGCAGCCATCTTGGATGTGTGTAGAAAGAAGTCATATGCCAGGGAAGCCAGTGCCCACCAGGCCCTAGTCTCTTACTCAGGGTAGTGCAGTGAGGGAAACGTGTTTTCTCTAAGCTGTTGTTCTTCTGCCATTGGCAGCTTTTTCTCACAGTTTAGACTGTTTTGTACACTGCAAGTCATTCTGACTTAGTTTTTATATGAAATACCAGAAGTGGGAGCATGGCTCCTCTGCTAGTGGGATGGAAAACTTTTAAGTGATTTTAAAAGTGGCTGATAGGAGATGAGAGGCCACTTACACTTTTATTTGGATAGCCATACTTGGCAGTGTCATCCATGCTCTGCTGGCTTTGGTGACATGAAGGATGGAAGAGTAAGGGGATCGTAGATTCTTCGTATGTGGTTTTAGAGAACCATTGCGGCCAGGCAACATGTGACAGGGGAGTCCCTGCAAGGCTGAGGAGACATTGTGTGAAGCTGTGAAATTAACGCCTGGGTTGTGAAGGGGACTCCAGGGTGTTAAGAGTGCCAGCCTGGGCTGTCTGCCATGGAGAGCGTCATACTGGGAGTGAAGTTAGCCTGTGGAAGTTTGAACGAGAGTCACCTGCATAGGCTTGAGTACTTGGTCCCTAGTTGCTGCAATTGTTTGGGAAGGTTTAGGAGGTACAAGGGAGGAGGTGTGGGATGTTCCCATTGTTCCCAGTTAGTTCTCTCTGCCTCCTGCTTACAGATCAAGTTGTAAGCTCTAAACTGCTCCTGTTGCCATGCCTTTCTTTCATCATCTTTGACTCTAACCCTCAATAAAGTGCTTTCTTTTATAAGTTGTCTTGGTCATGGTGTTTTGTCACAGCAATAGAAAAGTAACTAAGACACAGCCCAAAGGAGAGTTATATATTACAGGCAGCTAAGCTGGAGAGACAGAGTAGTCTAAGCGCTTTGACACTTGACACAGAGCTACAGGATTTGGAGTTTGTCCTGCTGGGTTTCAGCCTTGCTTTGGTCTGATATTTCTCATTGCCCCGTTCCTCCCCTTTAGGATGGCAACACATGTTCTGTACCATTATATGTTGAAAGTATGTAATTTGCTTTTTGATTTTTACAAGGGTTACAAGTAAGAGCTTACCTTGAGTCTCAGAAGAGCCCTTGGACTTTTGAACAGTGTTGAGACTGTGAAAGACTATAGGAGCTTTTGAAGTTTGACTAAATGTATTTTGTACTTAGACATGGCCATGAGTGTATGCTGTTGATTTGAATAAGAAATGTCCCCTGTAAGCTTGGGTGTATGAAGCATTGGTTCCTATTTGGCGGAGTTGTTTGGGGAGATTTAGAAGGTGTGGCCTTGCTGAAGGACAGCCTGGGGGTCGGCTTTTAGACTTTTATACCTTCATCCCACTTTAGTTGTCTCTTTGTCTGGTGCTTGTGGTTGATATATGAGCTGTCATTGTCCTGTTGTTGCCGTGTTTGCCCCCACTTGCTGCCATACCTCCCCACCTCCCTGCCATTATTGACTCTTACCCTTTGGAACCATAAGCCAAAGAAACCCTTCCTTCTATAAGTTACTTTTGGTCATGGTGTTTTGTGATAGCAACAGAAAAGTAATTAATGCAGCCATGTTTTGCTTACAAGAACTAGAAACTGAACTGTTGTGTTTATGGCAGTTACTCCTTCTGATCACTATTTTACTTTGTATGGTATTGAGAACTAAAAGAGTTAGTGTAAGATTGACTAGAAAACATGTTCCATGATGTTTCTGTAACTATAGAATGACTTCATGATGGGGCTGGTGAGAGATCTCAGTAGGTAAAGCGTGTACCATGTAAGTGGAAAGTACTAAATTTGGATCCCCAGCACCCACATACAGTGCTGGGTGAGTGTAGTAACTTACCTGCAATCCTAGAAATAGAAACAGGATTCCCAGAGCAGGCTGGCTAGCTAGAGTAGCAGGCTCACCAAGAGGAAAGAATGAAGGGAAATGCCTCATGCCAGCTATCTGGCCTCCACATGCATGCCACACAAATGCACCCACACATACAAACATGTATCTCCATACACCATAAAATACACACAGATTTTTTTTATAGACTTGATAATTTTTTTCTTATTTTATAGATCGATCCCAGTTTCCTCTCCCTCCCATCCTCCATGCCCTCCCGACCCCCACACCCTGTCCCACTCCCCGGGAGGGTGAGGCCTTCCAGGAGGGATCATCAAAATCTGTCAAGTCATTTGGGGTAGGGCCTAGGCCCTCCCTTGTGTAAAGACCTGATATTAAGAGATGCATGATAGATTGCCTAAATTGTAGGCATCAAAGGAAACTTAGAAACTGAAGTCTTATATTTGCTTGTCTTCATGTAAATAAAGCATTTTGTTGTGTCATTAACATTTAAGCATTTCAGTATGTTGTTTTAGAATATGTAGTCAATATTTGGTAAAGTGGCTGGTATAAAAAAAAGTATTTTTTTCTCTTTTATCATGAAGTATTTAATGATGGAAGTGGGGAAAATGCTGTATTTGCAACAGTTGACAAAAACCAAAAATACTTTGAAGTAATTTTAGTAGCAAGCAGCAGATCTGTCTGACAAAGTTGGTGGTTCAGTGTAGTGGGAATCACTGTTCATCTGGAATATAGTGAAGTCTGGAACAGGAAGAGCTAGCTTCCAGATAGATTTGTTACTGTTTCATCATCAACATCAATATTATTTTATGGTTACTATTTCTTTATGTGTATTAGTGCTTTGCCTGCAGAGGTCAAAAGAGAACATCAAATCCCTTGGGATGGAAGTTACAGATGGTTTTGAACCACTGTGTGGGTGCTGGGACTCAAACTCAGGTCCTCTGGAAGAACAGCTAGTGCTTTTAACCATTGAGCCATTTCTCCAGCCCCAAGTGAAACAACCTTAAAGAGACTTCATGTATGATTCAGGAGTTGGAAAAAACATTAACCAAGGCTGTAAATCCAGAATCCAGGATTGTTTGGGATTATATTGAAAAGTTTCTGTGGCAAAACATATCCAAAGCAAAGTCAGCAGATTTAGAATTTGAATGGGATTTATATTTAATACATTTAATTTATTACTTGTGTGTGTGTGTAATTATATGGGTTTATGTACTCCATGGCTCATGTGTGGAGGTCAGAGAACAACTTTGTGGAGTTGGTTTTCTCCTTCTCGCTTTATTGAGTTCTTGGGAACAAACTCAGGTTATCTTTGGCCATGATTGGCATGTGCTTTTACCTGCTGAGCTATCTTGCTGACCCAAGGACTTATATTTCAAGCTTTTATAAGCCAAGCTGTTCCATAGGAAAAATTGGACAGAACACAGTTTGATGGGCAATTCACAGAGCAAACCCAGTTTGCCAACACAACTAGGAAATAATGCCATATGTTTAGCAGAGTGGCACTAACTGAAGTACTCGGTAGTGAGTCACAGTTAAGTTTCTTGCTGTAGAATAGCTTATCCCCATGCTTGTGTTATCACAGTCTCCATATATTAGAGGTCACGTCTGGCTCTGATGGGTCCTCTGCTTAGGGCCTTGCAAGACTGTGGTCGCTCAGGTATGTCTGTGGCCTATGGGATGAGAGCTATGAATGCAGCCCAACATAAACTCATAAATTTACACAAAACATTATGAGACCTTTGGATGATCTTTTTTGTGTGTATGGTGTTTTTCAAGGCAGAGTTTTTCTGTATTGTTTTGGAGCCTGTCCTGGAACTCTCTCTGTAGACCAGGCTGGCCTTGAACTCACAGAGATCCACCTGCCTCTGCCTCCCAAGTGCTGGGATTAAAGGCATGCACCACCAACGCCCGGCTTGAATGGTCTTTTTTGTAACTAGATTATGTATTCTTTTGATGGGCTGATCATCATGACATGACAGCATCGTTTTACATTGTTAAAAGGTTGGACATGCTTACTGGCCAAATATGCCCATCTCTTTTTAAAAAGTGGGTTTGGTTGCTATATTCCTTTCTTCAGGCTCATATTATTGTTGGCAGAATTCTCTTCCTTTGAGCTGCAAAACTGGCCCCACTTTCTTGCCAGTTATTAAATGGGCCCAGAAGTACCTGCCACATAGCCTTTTCGCATGCCGTGTCACCCCAGGAATACTCTGGCTCTAGTTTTGACAGTAATGGAATGTAAGCATGGTAATGACTGTTCTGTCATCTTTGTCACATTCTGTTGGGCAGAATCAAGTGACACGATCTATTCCACAAAGGGAGTGATGCCATTCATTGGGGGTTCTCCTTACTACAGTCACTTAAACTGGAAAGAAATGGAAAAAGTGCTGAGTTCATTGCCAGGCAGGGTGAGAAGTGTGTGTAGGAAGGTGTGCTGGCTAATATGTCAACTTGACGACACAAGCTAGAGTCATTTTGGAAGAGGGAACCTCAGTTGACACAAAGACCCTACCAGATTGGTCAGTATATGTGTCAGGTGGTTCATAATTGCCTTTAATGACTATTACTGGGGCTATATCATCTCTAGCCTCCTGTGGTCACACGCATGAGCGCGCACACACACACAGACACACACAGGTACACATGTACACATAATTTAAAATAATAAAAATAAACCTTTGGAAAAGGACTTGTCAAGTCAGAAACTGCTATTGAAAGGTAGGAGGAAAAGGTCTAGAAGGCTTGAATAGATGCCTGGCTCTTAATAAAGCTTGAAAAGCCTCCTTTAAGAAATTGCCTTATATATAGAGTTATGGATAAATAACTTTGATTTTGCTTTTATACTTAGAATTCCAATTTTGGAAAATCTTCTGCACTGGTGGTTTTATGAACCTGAATGGCACATTTAATTTTCAGAATTGTGTTTTTTTTTTCTAGTGTCTTTTTCAGAAGAGGAAAAATATCAGCTAAGAAAATTTGTGAATAAGTCTTACCTGCTGGACAAGAAAGCTCACCGTCAAGTGTACTACAGTTTAGTTGACATCCTTCTGGCCTATTGTTATGAAATACGCGTCACTGAAGGAGAGCACAATGTAAGTCTGTGTGTCAGAGTAGACCATTGTTTTAGCTAATGGGAGTTGGGCTTAGCTACCTGTTGAGAGCAGAGCCTGTAGTGATAGATTACTTAGGGGCATTAAGTGCCTATGGTGGTCATAGTAGATGGTAGTGGGCACAGTCATGAAGCATAATGTTGTCCTGCCTCTTCTTTCTTGGCAGTAGATCTACTAGATAGATAAAAGAGCAGGGTAGTGTAAGAAAAAAAGCCAAGAGTAGAAAGGAAGGCTGTGTCACTCAACACTAGAGCCCACTACCACACTCCAGGCTTTCATTTATCATATGCAAAGTAAAGCCTTTTGCAGGAAAGAATCTTAGCATACAGAATGTGTACTTGCAAAGATTTGTATGTAAGCCCCATTTTTTTCAAAACTTAAATCATACTTTTTTGTTATTTGAAAGAATCATCTCAGGCTGAGGCAAAAGGATTGAGAGTTCAAAGCCAGCCTGAGCTGTAAATGGAGACCCTGCTTTCCTTTTTTTTCATCTTCATACTGTCTACTAAAGAAGCCATGTGTCATGTCATGTATTTTAAAGACTGTTCAATCTCCAGTGCCTCAGTCAGTGTAACCAGTCTTTGAATTAATAAATAAATGCTGGAGAGCCAACGTCTTTCTAGATAGTGTGACCCTACTGTTAAAATTACCTGTGCTCGGAGTTTTAGCCTTGCCATATGCTTTCCTTTTTCTTTTTGATTATATAGATAATTTTTATCATTGGGATTTCCCATAATTCCAGTAGTTAGTAATAATCACAGTTACAAGATCAATTATGTGGTTTTCTTTCACTGTACATATGCGCGTACACGTTTACTTTGGGTGCAGCCTATACACTATGATTTAATTCACTTACCTCACACAGCTTTATAACATCAATAGTAGTTTGAGATTCCATTTTGTGTGTGTGTGTGTGTGTGTGTGTGTGTGTGTGATGATTCTAAAACTTTCTAAAGTGGCTATTGCAGTCTGCATATGATCTAAGTGAATAATCTTGAGGTTATCAAGAATAAAATTATCTGAAAATACTTTGTTTTCAAGTCTTTTAAAATTAATTTATTTTTGTTTTATATGCATTGGTGTTTTGCCATGGACATTGGGTAGAATTACAGACACTTGTGAGCTGCCATGTGGGTGCTAGGAATTGAACCAAGGTTCTCTGGAAGTGCAGTCAGTGCTCTTAACCACTGTGCCCCTTTCCAGCCCCTCGAGACATTTTTAAAAAGACGTTCTAAGTGAATAAAATGTTTACTTAGACCAAAAAAAAAAAAAAAAAGTTTCTTTATATTATTAAGTCTTTAAATTTTTGAAAGATTTAAAATTTTATGTATATGGGGTTTTACCTGAACATATGTATATGTACCATGTTTGTGCCTGGGGAGGTCAGAAGAGGGCATTAGATGCCCTGGAGCTGGAGTTATGGATGCTTGTAAGCCACCATGAGGGAACTGCGGAATGAATACAGGTCCTGTAGAAGAGCAACTAGTACTTCAGACCATTGAGCCACTTTTCCAGCCCCACATATTAAATCTTGATGAGTGAAAGTGTTATACTTGATAAAATTTACCAATTTTTCTTCTATTTGCATGTTTGAAATTATTGTCTTTCAGCTTAGCAAGCCTTTGAACTACTGTTAATCTCACATGCATTTTCTGAAAGGCAGTTTCTACCTGGTTTCCAGGTGCCCAGAAGCATTTTAACAGTGAGTGACTTAGTAGAGAAAGAACCAGCAGGCATCGTGCTTCAGTTTTGCTCGAATGCCCCTGCCTATTTGTTTGTATATTCTGGTACTCTCATTAGTGAAGTGTTTAATTCCATAGAATTCCAAACACAGTGAACAGAGGCATCTTCTATTAGTCTCTGCATTAACACAATTATTTTTCTACATTCATAAGTAAATACGTCGTTTTTTCATTGGTTAATAACAACTCATTTACTAGTTCCAGTGGATATATTTGTTTCATTTCCAAATGACTTTTGAAGGTCATTCTTTCTCCACCACAAAGGTTGAGTCTGCGTGGACTATCAGAAAACTGAGCCCAACTCTCTGCTGGTTTGAGGTATGATTTCTACTTAGAATTGTTTAGGCTTCTATTTGTTGTTCATAAAGTTATTTTTAAATTGGGAGCTTTATTATACAAACAACATCATCATCAGCAACAACAAACTTGTTGTGATAGTCAAGCCAGGTGAGCATTTTATAAATTGTTGACGGAAATATTATGTGGAAGAACACTGAGGACACTGTGATTTGTTTGAGAAGATGTGGGGAGAGCTGCAGATATGTTAAGAAATTGGTCTCAGAGTTTAAAAATGGAAAATAAACCTGGATGATAATGGATCACCAGAGCCAGGCAGAGTTTCTTACATCCCTTACTCACCTTCTTCCTCAATGACCTCATTGAACAACACCCAGTAAGGTGAGTGCTGCTGAACTTACAGGTGAAGAAACTTAGATCATACAGCTTAAAACAAATTGTTCTGTATCCTATCATTTTATGGTTAGAGCTGTTAACCTCTTTTTAAAAAATTAAAATTTTATTTGTCATTATTATTTTACAGGACACTTATAGCATGTATATGAAGGTCAGAGAACACTTTTGTGGAATTCTTTCTTACCTTCCACTTTTATATGGGTTCCAGGGGTGAAATTAGATTTAGATTTCCCACTGGCCTGCTAACCTCTTTTAGTGTTAGTGATAATTGATTTTGTTTCTTTTTTCTAAAAAATTTTCTGTAGTTCTTAAAAAAATTTATTAAAAAATAGTATCTTTTAAGTTTCTGAGTTTGGAACAAATTGTCCAGCATCAAAGTCATACCATCCATGGTTCAGATAATGTATACTTTAAATTGTAAAGTGGAGATTGCTTCATATATTACTTCCTTCTATGAGGAAGTAAGGTTCAGTCCTATCACCGAGACAGGTACCGTACGAGATTGTCTTCCAAGAGTAAGAGTGAGCCAGCAACATTGCCAGCCATCTCATCTGGAAGCTACTTATAAAATTAGGAAGCCTGTTCCCATCCCCGCTCTGCCATCAAATCCAAGTCTATAATAATGAATGCCTGTCCCAATTAAGACTCTAAAATGCTCCTGCTACATATGTGGATTTTAATCCACATTTGCGATTTGTTGATGAAGCATGAGGAATTAAAAGTCTGTGATAAAGTGAGGTTTACAGGAAGAATCTCATTTGTGTGAGTGACCCAGGTTTACAGTGGAATTGTTCTTTTTTCATTGTATGCTTTTGTTGTGTTATGTATTTTATGGAAATTACTTACTGAGATGCCTCTTCATAGACTTGGACAGATGTTCATGAAATCCTGGTGTCTTTTGGAAGGAGAGTTTTGTGCTATCCACTTTATCGTCATTTCAAGCTGGTGATGAAGGCCTACAGAGACACTATAAAGATACTGCAACTAGGTAAGGGAGGCTCGAATAACTGGGCATGAGAAGTAAATTTTTAGTGTGTGAACATGTAATCATGATTTTTGCTCTTCTCACTATATATACAAGTAGTAAAAAATTATCAAATCTACTGGGATTTAGAAAGTAATGTTTCCTGTACAGAGATGCACAGTCATGCTTACCTTTTGTAAGAGAGGTGGAGTAAATGGAGACATACATCAGTGTCCCAGATCAGGTCACACTGAAGAGGGATTGTGTTTTCAGTGTTTCTTGGATTTCTGTAACTTTCTAGGCACTGGGGTGGGACTAGAGGTTCAGTAATGAAGTTTGCTAAATCCTCTCCTCCAGTGAGCTTTACAGCTTTGTCAGAGATGTGATAAATAAACCAGCAGTTGCAGTATAGAGCCCTAGGAGCTCTGACTGAGAAGTGCAGTGGTTGTTTAGGAGGGCACTTGTCACCTCAATTGGGAAAGCAGGGAGGATTTTGCAAGGAAAAACATCACTACTCTGAAGACTCTTGACTGCACTAAGTTTAGCATCAAAAGTCATTTCTGGCCATAAGAATATGGAAAATTCCAGGCTCAAAAACAAATTCTGAAGCACCCATACCAACATTATTAGAAAGGATTAATTTCCAAGGTAATGATTTTGAAGAGGCATCATCCATTTATGTAGATTAGTTCTAGCACATTCATTTAAAGTCACTTTCTACACTTCATGGTCTTTGTGTGTGTGTGCGCATGCACATGTGTGCTCAAGGGGTGGTGAGAGGGGGCCTTGTCTCTTCTTTTTCCTTAGAAAGACATTAACTTAGTTTTCAGACTCAGCATAAGAAGGGAAGTCCACACCATATCCATGAGAAGGGAAGTCCATCTCCATATCTATGAGAGAGGAATCCATCCTATATCCATAGAAGAGAAGTCCATCCCATATTCATGAGAAGGGAAGTCTGAGCCAATAGGACCTTCGGAGAGGGGGTATAAAGGCAGGTCTAACTTTAAGTTAGAATAGCATGCTCTGCTACTCACTGACTCCCAATGCCTGAGTCATTGGTGCTGCACCTTCTCACCCCTTTCCCCCAAGGTGGGTCCAAGCAGGGTAACCTGCAGCACCCATATCCATGAGAAGGGAAGTCCATCCCATATCCGAATGAGAAAAGAAGTCCACCTCTTTTTATCCGTTGTAAAGGAAGCATCTCCTATATCATCCTTGAGAAGGAAAGTCCATTCCCATATCGATAAGAAGGAAGCTCATTATCCCCCATGTCCAGGTGACTTTATTGGATTGTTAGGGAAAATCATGTGTTTGGTGTTTTGTCCCAAGGTACACCTAGCTTTTTGTCACCAGTGTGACCTCTATTCTCTGGGGCAGGTATACTTAAAGTAGATTGTTATTGTGAAAATGAGTCATAGTTAACTGAAAGATGCCTTTTATCCATTGATAGGTTTAGACTAGCAGTATTTTACTTTGAAGGATTGTTGTTTAGGATACATGAGTGAATATCATCTAGAAATCTGTCTCCTTTAACTGTGGGAAACAAACTGCTTCCCCCCCCCCTTTTGGCATGTTATTTTTCTCTTCCCATCCAAGGTATTTCTTGAATCTCTAAAATTACCTTAAGAAATCAATCTACTCTAAATGACTAATTGTTGAGCTAGAGCTATCTATCACAAACTACTTGGTTTTTGTTGTCTTGCAGAATTTTCTGAACATTGTTCATAGATTTAAGCTTGGAGGCTCTTGTGTTATAGCTTCCAGAGGGAAGCCAGCAAAATCGTAGAAAGCTCTCCCATGTACATGCCCATACATACCCATTCTCGCTCTCATTCACATAAACTATTACTTGTTTCATTTTATTCTGGGAAGTAATCTGGCACTCTGGGATTTTTATTTGAAAAGTAATCAGTCTGTGATTGCATAATCCAAAATAAATTTGATTGCCTTGACTTACAGGCTAATCAATTATTCAAACAGTTTTAGTATGTTAGAGCTGAAATTGAGACTTAACTTTTCATCGTTATCACTCACAAAAAATAGTGTTATCAGCTGTATTTTGTTAGCAGCAGACTTGAAATAACACAGTAGAGCCTCTGTTGAAATGAATGTGAGGTATCTAAGCCACAGTACTGGGTTCTGCAACTGGCTTAAATTGTGCTTAGTGTGGAAGCAGAGCACTGGATTGTCATGAACCTGTGCCACTGGATGTGAGGGTGACAAGCTCTGAATGAGGGTTGTGACCTGTGCTTGTTCAGGTAGATGGCACAAGAATGCCATTATTATCACTGAGGAATCTCATTTGTTTGGACACTCCATAAGTTAAGTGGAAATAGCACTAGCTTGGCATTTGGTGTTATCCAAGAATGAATTTGTATCTACTTAAAATTCAGAACACAGTCCTAGCAGTCACACTTTTACTGTAAAGGTCAGATAGTGCTTGCATAGTTGAAAGTAATGAATGACTCTTTCCCCCAAAGAAATACTGATCTCAAATGGATGAGTTTCCAGAACCAATATGGGAATGCATGAGAAGCTACAGAGAATAGTTCATAATAACTGACTAAGATGAGAGTTTTCAAAGAGCCATGAATTTGCTTTATTTGACTTCACAACAGCCTTTTCAAGGATGCTTTACTGGGCCTGGAGCATCTTTAAGTTTTCTTCATCCTTACCTCTTCCCACCTTGCAGAAGGCTGTGTTTATCTGTCTCTTTTGTTGTATATTAAATCCAGACTTCCTCAGGATGGGAAACCTGGATCACCCTGGTAAGTATTGTTTTAGTGCTTAACAAGGGACTTTGCCCATAAGGTTGTTCTCCTCTCTTCAGTCCTTTTGGGGCATAAAACTCCCCAATGTGTCCTCTATTCTCTACTTCTCAGCAAATGTCATTGCCTCCTGATGGCTGATTTTTTTTCAAGGGTGAATAGAACCCCTCTTGGAGCAATCCTTTAGTCAGGTGGGGGTGAGAAAAGTAGAAGAAGCCAGTGTCCAGTGTACCTTAGTTTTATTTTACTGGAAGCTACAAGCCACATCATCCAGTACTCGATTGTACATTGTACACTTCAGTATTTGGATTCATGTCTCTATCTTATTATAAACACTATAGGGTTTTTCTTATTCTGCTTCTGCTAGAAGGCTGCACATGATAGAGTGGGCCGGCAACAGCCCAGTTCCACCAGAACTCATTCTGTGTCCCCACTACCTTGGGTGGAAAGCACACATGCCTTCCATAGTACACACCCTGTAGGTTTTTCTGGCACTTTAGGTTCTATACGTGATTTCTCAATAGTCCTACCTATAAGATGAGTCTAATTTCAGTACTTGAATTTTTTACTTTGCACTTACAAAGAGGAAGCCTTGGCTTTCCTGGCTTGTGCCTGCTTCAGGTTGTGGAATCAGCAGTGAGTAGGATAGCTGTTGTAGGAAGGGGTCTCTTCATTGGCTTCATGGGCAAATCACATCCCTAATGATTAAGTTACTATTTGACTTTGCTGTTATGGGAAGCACCAGTTGCCCCCAGAATAGCCGTTGCTGCTCAGCTACCACAAGCTGATCTTTCCTGCTTTCTGATGGGATCAGGTACGAGCTCTTGGTCTGTTCCACTTTCCGACACAAGGAGGTTGAACTCTGGGGGAGGGGGCTTCTTTCAAGTAGACCTTGACCCATTTTGTCCTGTGTGAGCCTTAGTGGAAATGGTAATCATGCCCCAGCCACCATGCAGTAAATACTTTCTGTGTGTTAGCTCCAGGCTCTGTTCTTCTGATGCTTTCTTATCTCAATTCCTGTTTAGTGCCATCTGGAAAAGAAGGAATTACTGCCACATGTTGGTAGAGGAAAGGCAGTCTCTAAAAAGCTAAGTGAACAGCCAGGATAGACAACACAGCCTGAACTTGATTCCAGGTTTGCCCAATTCAAAGTCTGGGTCCCCTTTCCTATTGAAATCATTATAAATGGAGTCTGGCATTAGCTTCAAAATAACCGGCATTGATTGTGAGAAAGCTAGTGTTGTTGCAGTGAGGGGCTAGGTATTGGGGTGCTACTGCAACACATTTGCTGCCTGGGCAATGAGTGTGCTGGATTCATGATGTTTGTTTTTTCTAAGTCTCAACTCTTAACCACTATACCATGTTTCCTATTTCAATTCAATTACTATTTTGTTTGGATAACTGTATGAACATTTTTGTCTGTTTAGAGGATCTGGGATGTAGCTCAGTAGGGAGGCTTGTCTTATCTATGCAGTGCCCTAGGTTCTGTTCCCAGTACCCAGAAAAGAGGTAAGAAAAATCTGTCTCATTTCTAAGGCCAATAGAAACCTACCCTTCTGTAAATACTGGAAGTCTGATGAATGCTAGGCAGGGTGCAGCCCAAGAAACCTCCTCCATGGGCTAAAGGCCAGTTTTACTTGAGATGAGTAACATCCCTTACATAGCCGTTATTAACAGTTCAATCATAACAGACTGCTTTACAGTCCTCATCTGTAGATACAATAACATGATCAATGGGAAGAAAACAATTGCCAGGGCACCAAACACAGGCCTTTGGGCTGATATGAGTTTCATTTTTTAAAAAAGTAGATGACTATAAACTGATGCATATGTGGCAGGTTATTATATGAACTCTGACTTCTGATGAAAATTTACAAGTGAATTTCTTTTTTTTTTTTTTCTGGTTTATTCATTTTTATTTTATGTGCATTGGTGTTTTGCCTACATGTATGTCTGTGTGAGGGTGTCAGATCTTAGAATTAGTTGTTAGCTGCCATGTGGGTGCTGGGCACTGAACCCAGGTTCTCTGGAAGAGCGGTTGGTGCTCCTAACTGCTGAGTCAGCCCCATGAATTTCTTCTTAGTATTTAAATTTTATTTATTTCAGAGTCAGTTTGTAAATAGCGTATGTGTGTACATGCATACACATATATCTGTGTGTTAATGCATGCAGGTGTATGTTTTCATGTGTGTGGAAACATGTATGTGCATGTATGTGTGTATGTAGAGGCCTGAAGTTGATGTTGGTTGTCTT